CCGGGGACGCGGGGGATGGTGAGGGGGATCTGCGCAGGGGATCCCTCGCTGAGGCTGTGTCTGCAGGTTTGCGGTACCCTGAACCCTCCTTCTGCTTTTCCCCAGCCCGGTTTCTGCGTTTCTCTGTTTCCAGATGAAGCTGGCAGGGTCGCTGTTAGGCAGAGCGCTTCCTGCACTGCTGGTGTCGTGCCTTCTCCTGTTCGTGTGCTGCTTGTCTCTGCAACTGTGTATTAATGAATGCTTGTGCACAGGGAACTTGTCAGCCTCGGGGGAGGATGCTCTGGCCTTCCGAGCAGGATTACCATTGCAATTCCAAGGGACTTCTGTCAGGCTGAAAGTGTTGCTTTTCTAATGGACTGGAAGGCAGGCTCTTGCTCAGATCTTGGGGATTTGAGCTTTGAAAGAACTCTTTTCAGGCCGTTTCTTGCATAAACAGCTCTGTAAAGTGAGCTGGCCCTCTGAGCCTGCAGATAGGCAGCAGTATCAAAGGCTTTAAGTCTCTGTGGTCTTTACAGTAGCTTCAAGAGCTTTGTCAGTGAGCTGAGATAGAGATGTTGTCAGTGTTTTAAAGCTGGGGAGTTTGCTAATGCAGTTGATGGGTATCCCCTTTCAGTGTGCATCTCACTGTGGAGATGTCCTGTGTACCCCCAGCTTGCGGGTTCAGGTGAATTTGAAGAGAAGTGTCTGTCTGTCAGTAATGTGGGGGAGGTCCTCATGTGTTATCCCTCCTGGGCTGTTTTCCTCTTGAAACGTTAGTTTCATTTATTGCTTTTCTTGTCATGGAAGAGACCTTTCCCTTCTTGTTTGTTGGAGAAATTGAAGCTGTGGCTCCAGCTGGGTGCCCTGTATTGTGCAGTTGTATTCTGTATGCCTTGTATTCTGTAGCTCTGTGCTGCTTGTTGAGCAGGAAAGCCTGGAGGGTGAGGTGCTGCTGTGGAACAGTTCCTACCCAGCGCTCCTGGTCCATGAAAGCCAGCACAGGAGGTGCTGTGTGGTTTAATTTCATTGCTTTTACATTGTAGGCAAAGCTCTTGAGGGCAGGTGTTGCGTCAAGAGTTTCAAAGCACAGTTCCCTTTGTGGATGTGGCTTTTCTGTGCCTGTGCGTGCAGAGTTCTGGAGAGATGATCCTTCCCCTTCCCATGCCAAGTCAATAGGACACTAAGAAAATATTCCTAGGATCTTCTCACTTGATGTCCTTCCTGCCTCTTTCTTTGGCATCAGGTTTGAGCTGTTCCACTACAGTAATTCTAATCAATCTGGCTGGAAAGAATGATGAATCAGAAATAAAAGGTAGAGAGAAGTGCAAGAGGCAACCAAGGGAATCAAAAGGCTTCTGTCTGAGTAATGACAAAATAAACCATGGAAGATCTGGCTGGAAGGGAATATTGTATTGATCACTTTGCATACTACTTTTGAGGGTTTAGAGTGAGAATTCATCTGGTTTTCATCTTGAAAGAAAAAGAGCATCTGCTAAAACCATCAGACAGGAGATTCACATCTTCACATGGACACACACATCTCCTGACAAAAGGACAGTTTTGTGCTGCCTGTGGAGATGTGTTAGAGCCAATGTACCTCACCCCAGTCACACTGGGCACAGCAGTGGGTGAAATGGACCGTCCCTCTGTAATGACAATTTCACTGTCAACTCACAGGGTGAGTGACTTACCTCTTTATTTTTCACTGGGCAGTTTCATGTTTTGGTCTGTGACAGAGTATCTCTCCATTCCCACTGAGCAGAGGCATCTCTTCTTGTTGGAAATACACGAGGAATAATTCAGGGAATCGCAGGAGGAATGTCCTTCAGGACCGCGGCGCTTTTACTCTGCCCCCTTCTGTGTTGGGCGAGTTGTTTGCAAACTAAGATTCCAAAGTCAGCAATTACAAAATGGATCATCTTTTATCAGGACTTGGGAATCTGAGAGTTGTTTTGCCATACAGCGATGTTGCCATTCTAGATCATTAACTGCATCATGCAGAGGTGCAGGCCAGTGAAGCTGGTGGAGGGAAGGGGAAGTGGAATCTGCTCTGCCATCCTGGACTTTTATCCTTGGTGCCCACTTCAGGCAGATGCTCTCTTCAGAGTCCTTTTTGAGTCACTGTCAAGAGCTGCTTTGAACTTCCCTCAGGTGCAGGAGGATCACTGGCTGCAGGATCCCCAGGCTCACTCTGCCTGTGTTCAGTGACCAGTCTTGTGCCATGTCTGGGAATTTCATCCTGCTGGGGCTTGCCCTGATCCATGGAGATCTGTATCTACTATCAGCATCTCTATCTACTGACAGTATCATTGGGCAGAGTTTTATTGCAAAACTTGACCTTGTTTGACTTGACTGAGAGGTTGCAAGAAGCTGATGAGAGCGGCCAGCGTGGCTCAGGGCAGGGTGTGACAGCTCTGCTGGATTTGGGGGTGGTTATTGGTAACAGGCAGGATCTGCACCACAGACCTGCTCACCTGATGTAACCTGGAGCTCCTCCACAGCTCTCAGGCCCTTTAGGATGGAAACTTAGAGGAGGCACCATTCAAACCTGGATGCTCAGTTTCGTTGTGCTGCTGGCTGAGCGTTACAAACTGAATGACTTTAACCTTCCACTTTGATTTTCCTAAGGAATCTTCTGTTTACAGGATCTTAAATTACAATGCTGTGTTATCCCAGCTTGCCTGACCTGCTTGCCATCCCTCTTCCCTTCTCCTTTTCCATCTTGCTCTGTTCTTTTGTTCTTTCAGAGAACGAGCCTCACAGAAAGCAGTGCAGGGAGGCAGCAAACAGGGAACAAATCTGCATTCACAGATTTCTAATGAATTTCTGCAGCTGGGTCTGAAACTGGCAGAGCTTTCTGGGGAAACACAGATAGCAGAGAGCCCTGCAAATAGCCAGGTTGTGAAAGCATGAAAAATGGAAACAACAGCCCTGGATGTCAATGCTTGTTGTGCTTCTGAGGTTTCATTATAGCCTGATGTAAAAGCAGCTGGTTTTGCCATAATTTGCTGCATTTTGCTGGGTCTAAGAATAAACACAGAGACTAAATTATTTGTGACTGATGCTTTAATGTCCTTGGAGTTCAGTGGTCAGGGAGCTGAACTGAGTGTTTGTGATAGCTCAGTCATTTCTGATTTATCAGCAAATTTAGGTCATTTTGAAAGTGGGAGTTTAAACAGTAGTTGATAACAGCAACACTCTGGACCTACTCTGCTTTTGAGTGTTAATTGGATGCCAGATTGCTGACATAGGTGTGATCAGATTAGTTCTGTGGGTGGAACAGCAAAAATGCTTCGTCAGGATTTTATACTTATGGTGGCTAATGTGTTGTTTTGTCCTACTGTCAGCTTAGCTGCTGTTGTCACTTCAAGGAATATAAATATTTTTATAAAAACCCCTCTGCTAATAAACAGAAATTGTTGAGATGGATGAAATAAAAAGTCTCAGTTTAAATTTTGAACCTAATTTGGAACAAGCTGGGCACATGTAAGCAGGAAGCTCTATCAAAGATGAGTAGCTGTGACCTTTCAGAGGTGAACAGCAGACTGGGATGTGCTGCTGGAGGCTCAAAATGAGCATATTCTAAGCCTGAACTTCATTTAAAAGTCAGCTGGAATGTTAAGGCTGCAGTCTCCTCCCCAGGTTGCTTCAGCAGATTTCTCTCATATTCTTGACTGCAGGTGAATTACATGTGTCCACTATTAAGTGTTTTATAGCTGCCTGTGGACAATCCCAGGCAGATAAATTAAGCAGAAGAAGTAAGCTGTATGCCTGGCAGGAAACTCAGAGATCAGAACATCCAAGTCCTTGTATCCTGTGCACTCCTGTGAGTGGGTCTGGGTCAGGCAATCCGAGACACTTCCAACACCAAGGTCATTTGACCTCTTCAATTTAGACAGTCCAGAAGCTTTAAAGGGATCTTTGCTCTCCAGGCAGGAGTAGTCTGTGCACAATTATCTGCACTTGCAGCTGATTTTATCCATGGATGGATTCTGCAGCTTTTCGGAGTGATACAGGAGGCCTGGCAGTGGGTTTCGGGGTGCTGCAGATTTGGGGATTCCAGCTCAAAACTCCTTCCTGCAGGGTGTAATGAGGGTGGTCAGAATGATGTTGTCTTGCTTCAAGTCAAGGACTCATCAGCCAAGAGAGAAAACGCTACCAAATTAAATATGAAAACCAGAATAACTTAATTTTGGGAATCCCATTCAGACCTCCAGTGAGCAAGTCCTGTAGGAGTGTTACAGTATAATATATTAAAAGTAATGATTTAGTTATATATAGCATATTAGATATATAATACATTAAATACTGTGTTCTCCTGTTTTCCATCTGTCAGCCAGTTAAAGCTGTGAGGCTGTCAGGCTGAGCGAGCTTGAAGATATTTTTGAGCCTTCTTTTGAAGGTTGTTCTGAAGGTGTCTGGCTCTGTAGTTGGAGTTTTAAAAATGCACAATGAAATTTAGGCTCTTTAATGAGCACAAGGTATTGCTGATAATGCAGGTGACTGCAGGTGGAGGGTGCTCAGCTAAAGCCACTCAGTCAGCCCAGTTCTTCAGACAGAGCTCCAAACTCCTGACCTTTGGTTTACAGCTGTGTATTTAACCTTCTGTAACTGGAATTCACCTGGAATTACTGTAACCTCCTCTAAGAGGAATTTACCTATTTCCTGAAAAGGTGTTAAAGGAAGAACTTTCAGCTGGCCCTCTGTTTCACAGCACATTCCAAGGCCTTAAAACTCAAAGCTTGCTGCCAGCTGACCCTATTGCTGAGGCTGTGATCCTGGAGCTCTTCTCCAGGGAATGCTCCTCTTGTGCCAGCTCCTGCTCAGGTGGTGGTACCCAAGTACAGACCTCAGAGTTCATTTTGGAGTCCCCACAGCATGGGCTGAACTGCTGCTGGTCAGGGCTGCTTGCTCAACAGCGAGGACAGATTTGCCCTTGCTCTGTTGTGGTTTTATGCAGTTTAAGCATAAAATTTTGCCCTAGTAAAGCTGCAGCCTCTTGACTGTGCATTGAAGGGGTTGACTGATGAAATGGGGAAAAACCAGGTGCCCATAAAAGCACTGTGGGACCTCTCTAAACTTGCTTTGATTTTGTTTCCTCCAGTCACCGGTTTTAATTTTCTCCTTCCCACTTAAGAGCTTTTCTCTTTCTCTTTTTTTTTTTCTTCTTCCTTTTTTGTTTTTCAGCTTGGGAGTTTATTGTGCTGAAGGCTTTTATTTAGCTAGGCACATGATGAAATGACAGCATCATCTCTCAGTGAAGTGCATGAATATTTCTAGCATAATGCCCAGAGTGTCATCAAGGACACTCTCTGCATTTCACGTGCCTGTTTTGGTCAGCAGTTCAGTGCTGAGTAAGCAGAGCACAAAGCACAGGGGGCAGCCAGGTTGGTGAGCTATGAACACCTCCAGAAACTGGGAGAAATTTCTCCAAATTTCTGGTGGTGAATGCTTTGTGAGAGCAGCAGGGATTTGAGGAGTGAGCTTTAGGAGAGGGCCGTGGGCACAGCAAACTTCACATCTGGTTTGGTGGTTCTGTTGCAACAGCTGGGCTTTCACAATACTTACTGGAAGGCATTATTTTCTCCTTGCATTGTCTAAACACTCTGAGCACCAAAACAATGTGATTTATGAAACTCAATGAATATAAAGCTCATTCTCTATTAGGTCTTAATCATATGTGGTTGTGAATCAGCAATGAAGTAGCAGCTGCTGTGAAGATTATCTAATTTCTTTCCTTGTTAGTATTTAAAACTCTCCAGGCTTAGTGAGCTTCCCACTTACTCGGCCTCCACCTTCATTCAAATTATCCTTCATTTCTGTTCATTCTCATCTGTTCCACAGGCTGTGTGACACATTCTTCCCTTTACTGGTGGAGGAGTGCAGGATTTTCTCCTGGCTGTTTGGGACTAGCAGGAAAGCCCCTGGTGCCCTTTCAATTTTGCAAACAAACCTTGAGTAGGAGCACAAAGCTGAAGGAATTAGGCCTTCTCCTCCTTCATCCTGGGCTCTCACAGAGGGACCTGCTCTGTAGCCTAAAAGTATTTTTCATACTCATGTGGCTGATTTCAGTTTACCCTTTAAAATGAAGATTAAAATGAATAAGTTAAACTAGCCCTGCTGTGAGACTTGTATTAATTTTCTGGCAGGCTGGTACTTAAATGTCAGAAAGCTCCTGGGACAGGCCTGCAATCCAAATGCATGTTTGTGGTGCCATAAAACAGCAAGAGCTGGCTTTGTGAGGAAGGAGCACTGAGCTGTGCACTTACTCTTGGTGATGCAAAGTCTCTTTCTTCTCTGCCTCTCAAGGAGCATCTGAGCTGCAACCATCCAGCCATGAAAATGGCCTGCTCAGTGCTGGGCTCTTCATGACACAGATCCTTTGTGAAGTCATTTGTTTTACCAAAGACATGGTTTTGATGTGATTCAGTGTAAATGCAGTCTGGGCTTCTTTTGGCTTTAATTACTGAGAACTTGTTGCTCCCAGTGAGCTGTGCTCAATCTGCTTTTGAGCAGGAAACTCATTAGTGTGAGCGCCAAGGGTGGTGAGGCACAGGGCACTGATAGCAGAGCAGGGATGCTCCCACTCACACACTCTGAAATCTCCGGATGTCTCCTGGGCTGCAGGAGAAATGGAAGCTGCTAAAAAGTAAGCTTAAATACAAGGAGTAGCTTTCTTAATCCCCCAGTGCTTGCATTTTACCTAGTGAAGCCCAAGCACAGTTCATATCTGTTTGTTGTCTCGCCTTAAGGAATGAAAACAATACAGCTTTAAAATATGTCTTGGAAAAACAAAGCTGACAGGTATGGCTTCCTGTTGTAAACAGGATTTGGGATCTGGATTTCTTGTGCAAATTTCCTTTGACAGTTGTTTTTAAGCTAGTGCTCCCAAAAACCAATAAATGATTTTTTTGTCCTTGTTATATTAATAACTCAACCTCTTGACAAATGTGGTCATACTGAGGCCTGTAAAGGACATTAGAAAGGGACATCATATTAAAATAAAATTTGAGTGAGAAATAGGAAACCGAATTCTATTAGGCCCTAATTTTATACAGTAATTAAAAATCCTTGACCTCCCCCATCCCACTCATCTGCTGGCAGTGTGGATGGCTAAAGAGCAGCAGAGGGCATCAGCCCTGCTGCTAATTTTAGCCCAGTGCCTGGGGTGTGTGCCTGTGTGTGCATGCAGCATCTGCAGGGCCATGAATGCAGCTCCAGCAGAAACAAATCCACACTGCTGGGCCCCTTGGAGGAGGGGGAGCTTTGGCAGCACCTTTGAGCATTCCTGAAGCAGGACTTGGTGATCCTGGAGGCGATGAGAACAAGATCACAGCATGAGATGAACTTGGGGTGCTGTGTTGGTGGAAACATCTGAATGTTGGTTGAACTCTGGCTGTGTGGGGGGCTCAGAGTGCAGCCCTGTCCCTGAGAGGGATGGGGGAGAAACACTCTGAGATTTTAGAAGCTCTCAGTTTACCCTTCAAGAGGCCAGCTGGACAATTCACCTGCTGTGGCAGAAATGCAGGAACCAAGAGGACAAAGTGGAGAGGAGCTTCCAAGTGGCCAAATGGCAGCTGCACCACTGGCCACTGGCAGGCCCTGTATGGGGGTTTAAGGCCCAACTTTAAGGGTTTAAAAGGAGATTGTGAGGGCTGTTTGTTGTAGAATTTGAGTGCTGAGTGGGGCCATGGGTGGCCAAGGAAATGCCTTACAGGACTGTTAGTGGCCCAGCAGCCGGGGTGGACAAGGCTGCTCTGTGCCTGAAGCCACATCTGACAGCACAAGGCCAGCATCCCTTGCATTCAGTACCTGCTAAAGAACTTGCACACTTCCAGCTGCAGGCACATCTTTGTCCTCCTGGGTGTCTGCACGTAGCCCAGTGCAGGTGGGAGGAGGGGGAAAACTCTTGGCAAGCCAGCAGAAAGGTCAGTGTTCTCTAATCTGGAGCTGTGACTTAACAAGCTTTCTTCTTTCCATTCATAAGACAGGACATGTAGGGATTACCATTGCTATACATAGCTGTGTGCTGTCCTGCTGGGAGCACTGCAGAGCTGTGTCACCCTCAGGGCTGGGGATTCCACTGCTGCTTGTCCAGTGCTCAGCGTCTGCAGAATTTCAGTGGGACCCTGGCAGGACCAGAAGAGGACAGCTCTGAAGCTGGAAGCACACAAACATTGGGTTTCCTCAGTGGGAGGAAGAATAAATGTGTGGGCTGGCTACTGCTTCCCAGGGCAGGAGTCAAAATGTAGCTCTGAAGATAATTTGTTGGGTATTTTCCTGAACACAAGGGGTTTTGTGGGCTTTTTCAAGTGCATGTTCAGCTGGTCAGGGATTTGGCAGCAGTGTTGGATTGTGTGAGCCCATGTGTGCACACGGAGATAAGGCGCCAAGGCGTAATCCAGAATTCCTCTGCTTGATAGCCCCTTATCTCTGGGCATGGGGCCTGTGTGTTTTTGCTCTTGATGGGTCCCCTCGAGGTTCTGGCTCTGTAAACACAGTTGCTGTTTTTAATGACCTGGGAGTGTTCTGCTTTGGCTTTATTGGTTCCTGAAATAAAAAAACTGGGAAGCACCCAAAAATGAGCTCCTGGTCAGGCACCCAAACCTTCTATAGCTTGTCAGAGCAGTGGCTGGTGCTGGCAAACAGGCATGTTTGGACTTTCTGTTGGAATTACAGCCTGCTCCATGGAACCCATGAACATTTTAATATTGGGTATTTCAATTGCAAATTGCCAGGTCACACATGGGTAAGGCTGCATAGCATAACTCAGCGTTTGTAGAGATGTTGGTATTCTTAGTATTTAGGTTGCTTTCAGCAAGAAACACACTATGTAAACCACTTAAAATCCTTTGAATTCCATGGAGCAAAGCAAGAAGTGTGTTCTGGGTGAAGCTGCTTAGCACAGCAGAGGTGACCTGACATTTTTTTGCCATCACAGTTAGCAGTCACCGGAGTGACCCAGTGCAGCCTGTTGTGCAAGTGTGAGCTGGCTGCATGAGAAAAGCACTCAGACTAGAGCAAATACATGTGTGTGTGCATATTTATAAGTGCAGAGTGCTCAAAAAGTGTCAAATTTTGCTGCATTCTCCAAGGACTGCACTAGTGACTCTCAGAACATGCTGAGGGTGCTGTGTTGCTGTGAAATGTTAGGTTGGGCCTCCAAACTGTTTCAGGTACTGTGGGTTAGTGAGAATTCTTTCCATACACCCCGTTTTGGGATTTGAGGGAGAGTGTCTGGCTCAGCATCAGGGATTCCTCCAAGGTGACAGCTCCGCTGAGGGCAGAAATTATTTACAAGTGTAGCTAAAAATGAAGTTTCCTGTTGGCAGAGTGGGGATGAGTCATTGTGGTTCTGAGTCAAGGGGAGGGATCTTCCCCTCGCTGCAGCAGGGTTTTACTTCCAGATCTGCTCTCTCTTCAGGTGTTTGGTACTCTTGTCCCTGTTCCTGAGAAAACAAGGGGATATTGAGAAGGTGTGACAACCTCACTGAGTCTCCACCATGGAGTTAGGAGTTAGGATCTGGCCGTGGCTGTCTCAGTCCATCCTGTTCCTCACACCAAGCATCCTTTAGCAGAACTGTGTGCTTTTTTTGTACCAGTGCCCCCTGGCATGAGCTGTGTTTTCCCTCTGCTTGCCATACACGGCGTCTCTCTGTCTCCATCCAGCCAGGTCTCCCCTGGGAGGGGAGGAAGGTTGTGAATGTTACCAACTGCTTTAGAGCCAGGAGGTTTGCAGTTACTTCCTCATTTCATGAAGGGTTTTTTTATTAAATTTTAGATGCTAGATTAGACTGGAGAGCTGTGTAAATGTGAAAGTGTTAAACGTTCCTGTGCTATTCTTGCTGAAAAGCAGCAAACCAGTAATAATTTTAAAACTGAAGTGCTGGTGGAGGGTGTTGAAGCTGTGCCAGGAAAGTTCTCCAGTTGCACCTTAATGGCTGTGGATTTGTAGGAGGCAGTCTCTAGCAATACTGAAGGTGTTAGTCCTGTGGGAGTGCTTTTCTCCCTTGTGTTTGCAGAAAGGGACACTAATTTTCCATCCTCCTACCTGTTTGAGTTCTGAGCTTTTCTTCCTTTTAAGAGTGCCTGAACAGTGCAGCAGAGAGTCTGCTCTGCTGCAGCTTGAGGTTTGATTTTTGTTATTTATTTTTTTTGCCAGAAACTGGTCTTGTCAAACCAGAGTCTTGTAACTTTTGTCTTCTTGTGCTGTTTCTACATTGACTTCCATGGCAGCACTGCCCATTAGTTGAGTTCCTGTCTCACTTGGGAAGAAAACCTTGGACTTGAGCACACATGGCTTGTGCTAAAAGTGTAGCATAATGCATGCTGAAACAAAGGCAGAAAATACAGACTCTGACAGTTGTAGTGTCAGCTTTTTGCTGGTGGAGTGCATTGTTCCTATAGAAATTGTAGTCAGAGTTGCACAATTCATTTGTAAATCTCTACCAACAAAGAAAGACTTGACTTGGACAATAGCAATGCATCTTACTTTGGCAAAGTCTATTTTTTTTTTGCTTGAATGTAATATCCTATTACTGTTACACTAACTCACGTGAGCCCTACTATTATTCTTGCATCTTCCATTCTGGAACTTCACATGGGTGCCAGATACTTTTTGCTTCCTCTAATAACCCTCTCTATTGTTTCTCAGAGAGATCTGTCAGTTTTATTGAGCTGCAGCCACAGACTCTCAGTCTGCTGACTCCTGGAGCTGCAGACAGCTGTTCTGAATAGAGAATGCACACTGATGTTTGGTCTTCATACAGATGTACCTGTATCTGAGCTTAAATTGATAGAAAATTATTTATTCCCCTGCCTTGATGGGAGGATCTTTTTGGGACATTCTTGTCAGATTTTAAAGGAGTATTTGGAAGCTTTTTAGGTATTTAACTTATAGGTAGGTGTTGTTCTGTGTGGCAGATAATTAATGGTCTTGTTGATGAAGTTGGTAAAAATAAGTATGTCAAGGGTCCTAGAGGGGGAGACAAGTTCTTGGCCTTTTAAGAAACTTTAAACTCTTAATTAAGCACTCTTGCAACAAAAACAGAAATCCAGAAGCCTGCCATGCATCCTAAGAGCTCATAGATCTGTTGCAGTTCATAAACTCGGAGGCCATGAACTAATGCTGTTCACTCTTCGTGGTGTTGTGCATTTTGCAGAAGGCGTTTTATCTCCCAGCGCTGCTCTCTAGACTTTTTAGAAGACATAGTGGAGTATGCCAGTGTCCGAAGGTACTTGTTTTCAAAAGCAGCATTAACCTCAGCTCGTTGCATGCCCTCCTCTCCTCCCTCCACCCTCTTCCACGCCAATATCTGAGGTCCTGCATGCTGGTGCTGCCATCTGATCATACAACTGGCATGAATTTTTCTCAGAACACGTAACAGATTTGGCTTTTCTTTGTTTGTTTTTCTTTTTTTATCGTTGCAGAACCAAGCATATATCTGGGTCTCCAAGACACAAAAGTTTGAAGAAGATGCACTTCATCAAGAACATGAGGCAGTATGACACCAAGAACAGCAGGTAACATGTGGAGATCGAGGTTCCTCCTGTACTTGTGTGCAGTAGGAAGCAGCCTCCAGTTCCATGCAGTGAGACATTTAATATCAGTGAGAATTAGGGGATGCCCCTGGGGCCTTGTTAGCTTTATCCAGAGTTCTGTCAAAGGTGGTAGGTGCTCATTTCTGCTACATTTGCACTGATGATTCTGCCATCCTACTCTGAGGAGGTTAAATCATTCTCTCTTTTCTTCTCTCACTTTTCTTCTTTCTCTCACTTTCCTTATCTCTGGCATAGAGAGGTCAGAGCTGAGAATGGAGAAACAATGGAGAAGCCATTAAGGAGAATGGCTTGATTTGGGCAAATTCTTGGCTCTTGGTTGATGAGCAGAAGAGAAAGGGAGGCTGCATTTATGTTTATTATTAATAGAAGTGAGGTTTCATCTAAATGTAAAATATTATCTACTTTTTTCACAAGGTGTATGTAAAAATTACATAGATATATATTTAAGGACTGGGATCTCCTTTGAGTTGCTCCCAAGGTGATGGCAGGTCCTAAACATTGAGATTTGATAGAGAGCCCCAAGGACCTGCAGGGTCAGTGTTAAACCCCTGCTCTTCTGCTGCTTTCTGAAAATGTTAAATCCATGGCAGTATCTATGACTTGCAAGAGCAAGATAAGAAGAGCCTTGTGTTAATACCCCATAAAAAGCTGCTTTGTAACTTCTGGATCTTAATTGATATCCTGATCTTTCCCCATCTCCTTACAGAATAGTGCTGATCTGTGCCAAACGAACCCTGTGTGTGGCGTTTTCCATCCTGCCTTACGGGGAGGGGCTGCGGATCAGGTGAGTCTCCCCAGCTGCTCTGGGAAATGTCTGCTCTGCTGTTTCAAAAGATCTCCTGCAATGATTCTGATGGTGTCTCCTGTTCTGGAGCAAGTGAGCCTATCCAACCTGCCATTCATGTGGAAGGACAAGAGTTTGCTGTCAGAGCAGGAAAACCAGACACTGCCACAGTGTCAAAGTGTTCATTCCAACCCCAAGAGAAAAATGCTGGAAAAGGCAGATTTTTCTTCCAGTGTTTATTCACATTTTAAAGCACTCCAGTCCTGGCAAATCTCTGAAATCAGCTTTGAACAGATAATGTGATTGGCTGCTGTGTAGGTTTTCTATACTCCTGAAGTGGTCAGAAATCAACTGTCTTTAGAGCCACAAACAGTGGTGTCAGCAAAAAAAGCACAGGGAGTTTCAGGGAAGGGTGGTGTTGCCTTCAGTGGAAATTCTCAAGGTTTTATAGTGAATTTACACCTAAATAAGTTAAAGATGATCTTCTGTTTCTCAGTTTTAAGCCATGAATGTCACTATTCATCCTAAAAAAAGCAGAAACAGTTTGGACTGATTCACACTGCTTTTAGTGTTTGGACTACATTTTTATTTACAACTGTTAGTATGATCATTTATGAGAAACAAAACCCACAAACTGGATTTCCCTGCGTCTTTCTTTGGTCCCTTGTGAAGTTTAAGTCCATTCTGTGAAGGTCTGTTATCTACAAATATACCATACAAAACACTAATTCTGTTCTGGCAAAACAATTGTGTTGTCACTTCTGTCCTGTCAGTAACTTATGGACAAAGGAAACGGATGCTTAGTCGTGGGAATTGTATTGTATGCAAATACCTGCCATAAAAATAGTTGATGGGAAAATATTCTCCCACATAATAGAAAGGCAGCAGGGTCACTGGAGCTATTTCAGAGCAGTTCTGAGCACTGTGCTGTTCTGCTTGCAAGCTGGCAAGGCAGTTCTTCACCTGAAAACTGGATTTGGTATTGGAATATTGGTGACAAAGCCACGTGCTGCCATCACTGACACAGGCATCTGCAGCTTCATTCTGAATTTGAGCTTGTGTGCACAGGGGTTGCAAATTTCCTCTTGAAAGGCAGGTTTCTAATCCTGGAAAACAAGTAATGTAAATCAAGTTTGCTGTTACATGTTTGAGCATTTGAGTGTTGGGAATGGTGTGGTCTTGTGCAGAAAGATCATATTAAAAACAGTTTACCTTCAATAGGCAGATTGGTGGATTTGTGTTAAACTGAAATGAAATCTGATTCTTTAGTTAATGAACATCTCCACTTTTTGAAAAGAGTAGTTAAAAACTAATGCTCTCCTGGAGGTGGTATGGAGGGGTTGGCTTGTTTCCACACAGGAGAACTCTGACCTGGTGCTGTTGGTTGGTGTTTACCGTGGGAAGCTGGGCTTGCATTCTGTAATTGTGCTCTTTCTTACCTGCATTTAGTGATCTGAAAATGGAAGGACAGAAGCAGCGACATCCTTCTGGAGGAGTTTCAGTATCTAATGAGATGGTGCTTGGACTGGAAGGAGTAGAGCTGGGTGCTGATGGCAAGGTAAGGACATTTATTTTTTCACCCCAGGACCATTTCATGCTGGGACAAATCAATTTGTGCAGTGCTTTGCTGTCCATTATGTGAGAGCTTTGGCTTTTCAGAGCACTGGAAGTCTTAGACCTCTAGTTTGAAATTGTGGCTTGTAATAATGCTACCTCTGAAAAGGCTGCTGAAGCTTGTTATCACTTCTGCCTCTGTTTCTGGAGAATTGAGTTGGCTTTGCTATCTGAGGCAACATGTGAGTGAAGTTCTGATAGAAATATGGATGAAACTCATACTGCTTGAGTTAAATTTATAATGCCAGATTTTTACTTGTAATTCTCACCTTTTCTTTGCCATCCCACCAAATCTTCTACAACTCTTCATTTTAAAGTTGTGAAAACCAGGCAAACCTCATCCAACTTTTCCCTTCCTCCTGTCTCACATTTCCAAGCTCCCCACTCCCAAATCCAGCCTCTAGGGGACTCTGATTTGGAAAATCCTTGGTGTCTGGGAATAAACTTTTCAGTAAATTTCCCCTCCATAAACACTACAACTTTTTCTTCTTTCAGGTTGTGTCCTATGCAAAATTCCTGTACCCGACCAACGCTCTGGTTGTGCGCAAAGCCGACGCCTACGGTGCTGTTCCCCCCTGTCGAGCCAGTGCTCCCCGCAGTCTTCCTGGGTCCAGATACAAACCTGTGACAGCAAAAACAATACCAGCAGGGACAGACATGGGTAAGGACAGCAGCCAGCTCTGCCATCACTGGTGCATGCAGCAGAAAAGGCAGAGATTTGTCTGAGATAACTGCAGGCGGTCAGTGTTGTGGGCATGGAGATGCTGCAGCTCGTTAGTGCAGTGCAGATGATGAGCCTTAGGACTGAGGCTTCCACAAACTCCTTATAGCCTCCATATATCTGGCCTAGTTCTGTTTATGCCATTCAAGAGGCACGAAGCTTTTCCTTGGGAATGTAAAGTTTTATATTTCTCACTAAGAAACATCTGGTGCACGTGGATCCAGGTGGTTCTCTTCGCCTTCTAGCACAGTAACAATGCATAAGCCAGAGTTTGTGCCAAGAATCCCTTCTCTTGTGTAAAAGAGCAAACCTGACAACAGCTCTGCTGTCTATTAGACTACAGGCAAAATAATTCAGTCTTGGGTAATTTTTTTCTGGGTGTATTTGTAGATGCAAACTCAGTTGTACTAAATCTAAAATGTTGTGTCAGGCATGATGTGTGTGTGGTGGAGAAAGAGTTTGTGTGGTTTATTTAATTGTTCTAATTTGTGACTGGTGCATTTATGAAATGCAAGCATGTGCCTGTAGCTGCAGTTTGTACTGTGAGATCTGCCAACACTTAACATTTGCTATTTGAAAACTTTCTTAAGGAGGAAACAGGGAATTTAAAGCTCTTTTTCTGGTGGCCCAATGTGCTTTCCTCATTCCCTCAGGAAGTGAAGCTGGAGAAGCTGCAGAGTATGATCCAAATCTTCTGGATGATCCTCAGTGGCCCTGTGGAAAACATAAACGTGTTCTCATCTTTGCCTCATACATGGTGAGTGACTGGCATACCTGAAAGAGGAGAGATTCCCTGACAGATCTTCCTATAAAGAGTGTTTTTGAGGAAGAAAAATTCCTCTAGGAAGAAAAAGTGTTTTTGCTGATAATTGATTAGGAAAAATACAAACAGTTGATTTTGTACAGTGAGTCAAAGGCCAACCTGTCTTCATGTTGTCATTTACTTCTTGTAACCATTTGCTTACTGTTTTTTTAAAGACTTTGTCTGTAGTTGGGATTCAACTTTGGGACATTTCAGAAATGTTAAATTGTGAATAATAAAACTCAAGTTTGCCTTTGCCTTAGAGTTTTTGGAAGAGTTGTTTGGCTGTCAGTCCTGTTCACAAGACAAGTGATACATTTTGCTTCTTGCATTTCAGACTACAGTCATAGAGTATGTGAAACCCTCAGACCTTAAAAAGGATATGAATGAAACCTTTAGAGAGAAGTTTCCTCATATCAAGTTGACACTGAGCAAAATTAGGAGGTAAGAAATAAGCCTTGAGTAACAAGGACATCATCCACACTGTCTGAGGCTGCACTTGTATGCAGCAAATACTGAATCTATTAATAGTATATATGATTAAACACTAATCTCCTGTTGTCAGTTGAGCTGACTTGTAGGATGACAGCCCTGTACTGGAATCTTTAGGATGCTGAGAAAGGGTAACAGTTGGTTTTCAAAGTTCCACCTCAAGGGTTTTGTTTCACCAACTGTGGTGTACTAACACCAGGAGCCAATTAACAGTGGAGTAGCATTAGCTTTGAAACAAACCCTTGTAACCTGATTGCTTGGCTGCAGTGCAGTCCCACTCCAACTGGATTGGCTTTCTGGGCCCTCTGGCTATTTTTGCCTTTCAATTACCAGACTTACTGATGACTACAGACTCTAACAAGGTTGTGGATAAAGTGTGTTAGATCTGTGGAGACTTTGTAAAGAAAAGCTTTTTGTGGAGGCCGCACAGAATTTCTCCTCCTTGAGTAAATGCATCTGGTTGCTCCTCACCAAGATGCACTGTTGCACCTTCAGAGAGCTGTAATCTTGCTGGTGTTACAGGCAGATTGATGCAATCAGAGCCTGTTGAAATAGCCAGCTTAAACACAATTCTGCTGAGTCACCAGGGCCAGGTGTAGCTCAGCTTCAGGGGAAGGTTTGCTTGGGCAGTGTGTCCTGCCTGAGTCCTGCACGCTCCTCTTTGCAGCAGTTCAGAGCAGTGTGTTCCTGCAGAGATCATGCAGCTGCAGTGTGGATGGCAGCCCTGGGAGGAGCCATCCACCTCCAAGCCTGCTGAATGCTGAGGTGAAGGGCTGGCGTTGTGGGGAGTGTGCAAAGCAGGCTGCCTTCCCCTCACACCTGGCTCTTACACAAGGTGTCCACCAGACAGGTCTCTGTGCAGCAGCTGCTGTCATCTGCAGGGCTCTGCTGTGGTTTTCTGTCGGTCAGAGTGGTTCACTCTTGTCATCTGAATGACAAACCAGTTTGGGAACCCAGAAGAAATCCTACAGCAATAGCCTGTGTGTCAGTGAGGTAGTTAAGCTCTGGTGTTTATGGGCAGCTGAGGAATTGTTCTACCACAGTGGATGTTGTCAGCCAGGTGAAATCAGTTTGTGCATCAGCACCAAGCTGGGCTTTTGCACTCTAGGATAATACTTGTCATGGTTTTCCAAAGAGGAGTCTGGCCCATATGCTCCTCTGAGTTGCTGTGCTGCAGTATTTCTACAGCATTTACTAAAATCTGTCATGTTTGGGGGGGTGTCTTTTCTCCTGTTCCCAGTTTAAAGAGAGAGATGAGAAACCTGAGTGAGGAGTGCAGTCTGGAGCCGGTGACTGTCTCCATGGCTTACGTTTACTTTGAGAAGCTCGTGCTCCAAGGCAAGCTCAACAAACAGAACCGCAAACTGTGCGCTGGTGCTTGTGTTCTGCTCGCAGCCAAGATCAGCAGTGACCTCAGGAAACACGAAGTGAAACACCTAATAGATGTAAGTGCTGTGATCCTTGTTCCAGCTGCTGTCAGAACCTCCTCCCTAGCTCATAGGCAAAGATTAAATGCAAGGTTTTCAGTGCCACGTGCTTGCATGGAAGACCAGCTCTTTTCAGTTTTATGTCTCATTAGGGCTCCTCCTTGCTTTGTTTTTTTTTTTTAATTCATTAAAACTATCTGCCTGGTGCAGGCTAGTGTCTTACTGATCCTCCAGTAAAGTTATTTTTGCACTTTATATGTTTGCCAGAGAAGCAGTAACAGTTGTGTGGGTGTCACAGCTGAGCTGATAAGCTGGTTTGATGCTGAAAATACAGCTCAGGCTGTGCATCACAGACTTAATCTAACAATGCCTTGAAATCACCTGGATTAACTGATTCTTTCTCCCCTCCTTTGTTTTGTTTTGTTACCACCGTGATAGAAACTAGAAGAGAGATTCAGATTCAACAGAAGGGATCTCATTGGTTTCGAATTCACCGTCCTCGTGGCTTTGGAACTGGCTCTGTATCTCCCTGAAAACCAAGTTTTACCTCATTACAGACGGCTCACACAACAATCTTAACCAAAGCTCCCTCCCAGCCAGCATCCAGCTGTGCTGGGATCCCACCCCAGGATGCTGCCTGTGGAGCTGCCACTGGCTCAGCTCTCTGGGAAGGCTGCAGGGTGATGGGAACTGCCGAGGTCTGTGGACACAGATGCCAAATCTGGGGCATGGTACGAGAAGAGTTATTGAACTTTTGTTTTCTTTCGGACATTTAAAGCACAAATATTCACCAGTCAGCTGTCATGGCTGCTTATTATTCCTTATTTATCTTCCTGGTTTTACTAAAACTGTTCTTCCCTATGAAGAATACTATGGTATTGGTTCTTTTTATTTTATTTTGTTTTAAGCCTTTATTGTATTCCTTGAGACTGAAGGAACATCACTTCCATTCCAGTGCACCATAAAGTTCAGATGTTTCTAAGAACCTTCTCACATTTTTACATTAATGAAATGCATACTTTATTTTTTTAAAGATGTGCCTAAAACTGGCTGGTCTGGAACCAGTGCTTTTTAAGTTAGTTCTGTTATTTAGTGGGGAATCCTCAATTTGTATAGCCATTTATTCTTTACCTGCATTGGCCTTGCATACAAGGAAAACAATTCCAGTTATATCTGCACTAATAATATACAGGGCATCTATTCTATGATCTATAAGTAGCAAGACTGAAATTACTCCATTTCAATTTATTTACTATGAATAACTTTAAAATATACATTTTGTTTTAGAAGGAAAATTGGTTTGAAAACCTGTCATGAAGTACCACACATTGAGTGAGGTAGCTGGGAAGTGATTGCCGTCCTAATTCACTCTTGAGTGGAAGATGAGCACTTGACTAAGAGCAATTTGCTGTCAAATGTATAATTTAGGGGTTTTATTTGTTTCTCTGTTCTGTAGCCTGAAATAAGCACCTTTTTTTAGGATTGACTGTATTATAGATGGTCTTATCTGAGCAAATATGAAGCCAGTAGAGTTACTGCTGCCAACCGAGGCCAGTGAAACAAAGCATGCTCGGTATTTAAAATGCTACATTTTTTACTCTCTGTTCTTCCAAGCGTTGCATCACTGTGATGGTCCTCATAAAACTGGCATTTCTTGCACATCTGAGCAGCCACTACTGGCTGGTGCCCTGCAGCTCTCTAGAGTTCAAATAACTTCTCTGCCCGTTGGCTTATTCCTTCCTTTATTTTTACAGTATCGAGGTTGCGAATGAATTCTTGATTACACCTCCAACCTTCTGTGGTATTGGCTCTTGGGTTTATTTTCTGAAGCAATATTATTGATACAAGTTACTGGGTCCCTTTGCAAGGAACAAAACTGATACTTGGTTATTCTAATGAGAAAGTTGTAATTTAAGGTTGACTCATAAACTGCCAGACCTCGTGCTGAGGTCAGGGACTTGCTATCCAATATGTAAGTAATGTAAATTCCTGTTCCTTGTATTAAATATTGGTTGTAGCCAAAACCAAAGCTGAATCCTTGCTCTTCAGCTGTGTTTTGTCTGAAGCTAATTTGGCTTCATTAGAATTGCAGCAAACTTTACTGGAGCCCCTTTCTCTCTAAGTGGGGCCCAAAGTGTATTTTTCATATATAATAATTACAGTGACTATCAAACCTTTTTTAACTGTGTTCAACTGTATGTAGCTTCAAATTATTTGTGTAAAATTTAATATGCTTGTGATTTCTCTAACACAGAAGGACTTTCCAGTCTCCAGAAGTATAATGTAGCTAATAGCTTAGACAATAAGCTTGCCAGTTATCTTCCAAAAGGTTTAAAAATTTGCCTACTAGTTAAACTTTCTACTGAATATAACTGTCCTTGCATGCAGAAATAGTGATGTACTAAACATCTAGTGTGTAATGAGCCTCCAAATTAGCAAACAAGTGGTGCAGACAGCTGAGGTGCTCCACCACTTCCCAAGGCATTGTGGAGGAGCCAGAGGTACAACAGAGCAAAGAAATTTCTCAAAGAACAGCTTGATTAGTATGAATGAAATCTGAACGTGTCTTTCTCTGGGAACTTTTTTATTTAGTGTATAAAGAGTTTTCTGTAACAAAATTAACTTTCTGAGGGAACAAAACGCACTTTGGTTTGCAACACTTTGCAGTCTGTATTCAGTGGAAGTTTGTCTAGTTCAAGTGGCCATTTGGGCTGAAATTACACTCCCAGAACCCGTGGGTTTACGTCATAAAACCAGCAAGCTTTTGTTTTCTTCCAGGAGAACAAATTGGGATAAAGGAGCATTAAATTACAGAAAGCTGAACGTTGTCTGACAGTTATTCTAGCCCTTGGCTCGGGCACACACTCGAGTTGGGAAGCCAAGGATGACGCAGGGCAGCGAGGGCTGTGCCAGCTGTGTCTGGCAGAGCTGGGGCTTGGGGTGATGCTACCCAGAGCCTGAGGCTTGTGCAGGAACGTGTGTGTGTGCAGGAATCTCTGTGTGTGCAGGGACAGCAGGGACCGCCAGCCCTTCCACAGGGATCCTCCCACAGCTCCGCCTGCTCTGCCCGCCGGGCTCGCCCTTCCCAGAGCGCAGCTCGCAGCCCTGTGCTGGAATCTCTCTTTTTTCACCTAAAAGCTGCCACCGTGTGGCAAAGGACTCTCAGTACCTTGTGTGTTCACAAACTCAGCGCGGGACCCAGAGCCAGACCTGCCGGTTCACGTTTGCACAGCCAAACTCCTCCTGGCTCTGAAGAGAAACAGCTTTACACCCAGAGAGGCTCGGTGCTTTGTGAAGGTGCTGCTGGGGTGGCTCAGCACGGAGAACTCTCTTGAGAAGAGCCTGTACATTTCCTGTAAACAAAAACCCTTCTAGTTTTGTCATATTCCATTATTTAAAAGTCTCAGTTGTAGCCTGTTTGTTTTATTTTGGGGTTTTTTGTTTGTTTTTTTTCTTCTGTGAAATTAAGATGCTGTGAAATAAAACCTGTTTTTGGTACATGGTTTGTAACCAAATGTCTCATTTTGGAGTAACAGAATGGGTGGTGTTGGAAGGACGGGATCCCACCTGCCCCAGGTGACCCTGCTGCTGAGGCAGGTCACCTGGGGCAGGTGACACAGGAATGTGTCCAGGTGGGTCTGAAATGTCTCCAGAGACAGAGACTGCCTGATGTCCCTGGGCAGCTGTTCAGTGATCTGCCACCCTTAATGGAAAATTATTCATCAAGTTCAGATGGGATTTGTTGTGGTTTTAATTTACGGCCATTTCTCCTTGTCCAGTTCCTGGGCACCGCTACAGAGTCTGACATTTTCTGCCAGCCCTTGGGGCCATCTGTAAGGAATGAGGAACCTCTCAGGCCCAGCTCCTTCAGAGTCCCGTCTGAGATATCTGTACGGACTGAGGAGCCTCTCTCAGGCCCAGCTCCTCCAGAGTTCTCCTGAGAGAGAAGCCCCAGACCCCTGATCCTCGCTGGGTCCCCACGGACCCTCTGCAGTAGCTCGGAGCGCTCTCTTGGTTTCCGGTCCCCGATCCCCGGCGGGGCTGGGCAGAGCCGTGACGTCATGCGGCTGC